TTTTTTTTTTTTTTTTTTTTTGTTTGTTAATAGTTCAGCAGGATTTGAGGATGGGAGAGACAAGTAGAAAAGTATTTGACTAAAGGCACAGGGCAACCTCAAGGAACAGTGAGTAGTTTTGGCATGTTTGCAGTCAGGTCTTTTTTGGAGAGATGAGAGTGTAATAATAGATGAGATTGGAAAGATGGTCAAGAGTCGCCAAGAGAGACTTGGTTAAATTTGATTTTTATTCTGTAAGCATAAGAGAACCACTGAAGAATTTTAAACTTTCAAGTGATGTGATCAGAACTGTGCTTTTGAGATGAGGGGAAAATAGACTGAGCTGTCAAAATGTGGGTGGAAATAGCATTTCTTTTGGTTCCTGGTCCACTTATTATTGTTAACTTCGTTCCCACAAGTGGTTCTTCATTCTCAAATAATATGTAGAAAAGAATAGTTTGGTGTTTTTTTTTAACGAAGAGGCAAAAAGAAGTGAAGAGGAAGGAATGATTTCTTCTTCCTGTTTTATTGTTTTCTAGTGGAAAAATATAAAATTCATTATGTAAGAACTATGGGCAAGTTGTTACTGACAGATGTGCTTATAAGTTCTTGTTCCAGTAAACTGTATTCTCAGGAAATGATGGTAGGTCACTTCTAAGAATGATGCAGAGTTAGTATGCTGTTAAATTGAGGTAATAGACATTTAACTAATGTCTCAGAAATTTAGGTAGTTTAATTATTACTGAACTGGAAGGATACCAATTAGTATCTCATCTCCTGTGAGAGTTGTTGTGGAATATTTTATTCATTCCCTCAGCAAGATATTTGTTGACCTTATGTCAGGTACATTCTCTACCCTCCTGGAGCTTATATTCTAGGAGGGAAAACAAATTTTAAACATCGTTATTTAATCAGAATCCCAATAAGTACTATGAGGGAAAAGAATGGGCTATTATGAGAGCATATATCAGGGGACTCGGCTAGTTTTAGTCTAAGACTTCGGGGAAGGCTTTTCTAAGGGAGAAACGTTTAAGCTAAGACCTGATGTTCTGGTAGGTATTATCTAGATAAACAGCTTGTGTAAAGGCCTGGAATTGAGAAGGAAGATGGCATCTTTGAGGAATTTTTTTAAAGGCAAGTATGACTGGTATATAGAGTAGTATAAGAGGAGACTTAAGAGGTAAGAAGAGATGAGACCACCCAGGCCTTCCAGAGTATGGTAAAGACATAATCTGAATGCAGTCGGTAGCTACTTAAAATAGGGGTTTAAGCAGAGGAGGGACATGGCCAGATTTGTGTTGTAAAGTGATTGCTCTGGCTACAGTGTGGAGAAATAGATTGGAAGGGAGGCAAGAGATGATCTGGGGAACCAGATGGAAGCTGTGCTATAGTCCTGGTGAGAGGATGTTGGCAAGACTTGCCTGGTGGTAGTGGAGCTGGAGGGAGAGAGATATAAGAGGAAAATAATCAGACTGTAGAAAGGTAGGAGAATATATCATAGAAGACTCTCAGGTTTCTAGTTTAAGTAACTGTGTGGATAGTGGCTACATCCAAGAGATAAGGAACAATTGAAGGTGACCGTGTTTGTGGGGAGAAATCATGAATTGCATTTTGACAATATTGGGTTTGAGGTACACGTGCAACTCTCACGTGGAGATGTTAAATAGGCAGCTGGATACGTGGAAATGGAATGTAAATCTAGGCGTCCCCAGGTCTAGGTTTTATGTTTTAGAATAAAGACATTATTAACTCTTCCATATACAGAACATATCAGGGTGAATTGAAAGAGCTGAGTAGAGAGGAAGTGTCAGTGGTGTTTGAGCGTCTCCCATGCCAGTTCTGCCTTATGAGAAATCCTGACATTGAGTGATCTACAAATATGCATTTTGGCAGACATTTTCTCCACAAACTGATGGTTCTTTCGTCACCACACAGTTTCAAGAACTGAGATTACATTGCTGAATTTTGACAAAAATATGTTTTGCTCTGTTTTTGTTGCTATAGATTGATCGTACTAAAAAGCCAACATTAAAATTATCTGAAGATCGTAATATAAAATCTGAAAGTACAGACCATGAGCAACAGTCTCCTCAGGATGGAAAAGTTGTTCCTGATCGTTCCACAAAGCCAGTATTTACTCCAACAGCTGCTACATTAACAAATGAAGAAAAAGCTCGTATTCATGCAGAAACTGCTCTTCTAATGGAGAAGAGCAAACAAGAAAAAGAACTTCGGGAAAGGCAACAGGAAGAACAGAAAGAGAAACTGAGGAGGGAAGAGCAAGAACAAAAAGCCAGAAAGAAACCAGAAGATGAAGAAAATGAAATCACAGAGAAGGAACAAAAAACAAAAGAAGAAACAGAAGAGAGAGAAAGTGAACAGACCAAAAAAGAAGATAAAGAAACCTCAGGAAAGCGAGGCAAAGAAATAACAGGAGTAAAAAGACAAAGTAGAAGCGAACATGAAACTACTGATGCCAAGAAATCTATGGAAGACAGAGGGAAAAGGTGTCCAACCCCAGAAGTGCCAAAAAAGTCGACAGGAGATGTGCCCCAGATAGAAGATTCAGGTTCAGGCAAGGTGGGTTGAAACAAACAGTATAAATTGCCGGCTAAGTGAAACAAAATGTGTGTAAAAAAGTGCTAACACCACAGTCATTCCATAAACAGGGCAGACATTTTGTCTCTTGTTTCATCAATTCATGTAATATTGGCAGTAACCCATTAATGTTGCTTTTTTCTGCCCTTGGTTATATACTCAAAATTGATCTCCTTAAATTTGGGGAATATTTTTGTGTTATTTTTTAACCTAATAATACCATGCTTTTCTTTTGTCCCTTCATTGTGCAGTTAACAATATCTTTTTCATTTGAGCCCTGAATAAGTTTTAAAATAGCAGGAATCATAGCTCTATATACATAAATATAAGTGGAAATACATTTTTGTTAGTGTAAAAGTGACTTCTGATGGAAGGCGAAATACAAAATGTCAATTTCTATTTCTCATGCAGCAGTTCAGACATACTACAAAAAATAACAGTTTATTAATGCAGCACTTATCCAGGAACACTTATCTGGCAATCCCAACTGTCAAAAATATAGTTCCTATGCAAAAAACCCAAGTACTCAGAATTGGGAACGTGGAACCCAAGCACGAAAATTTCAGCTTTCTTCATGGGAGATGTAGAGCTTGTGAACACTTATTTAAGATGCAACTTAAGTATTATTCATTGAATCTACTATATGCCAAGCATTTCTCCTACCTTACCGTATTTATTCCTCATCGTAACCCCATGAGGTATTAAATTTACAAATGAAACTGAAACTTAGACATTAAAGTAGTTTGGCTGAGGTCATATCAGCAGTTAGATTCCAAAGCGACTTCCTTTCCATCTTGCCATACTTGAGACGCAGATAGTCATTAGAACTTAAAGTATTCACATTTCTGGGGTCATTTGGTATAGGTGCGAAATGTCCCTACAGATTTAAATAGCCTAAGATTATCACATTATAGTTATTGATGTTTCCTATAATATAATGGGAGCCCTGGTTGCCCAGTGGTTAAGAGCTCGGCTGCTGACTAACAGGATGGCAATTTGAATCCACCAGCCGATACTTGCAAACCCTATCAGGCAGTTCTACTCTGTCCTGTAGGGTCGCTATGAGTAGGAATTGACTCAATGAAAACTGGGTTAGTTTGGTTTTTGGTATAATGTAACAGACTGAAAAAGAGTTAAGATTGCATTTGTTGCATTCTCCTTTTAAAAGTAGATGAACATGGAATTCTAGAATAAGTTTCATTAAAATTATTGCTAATTTTAAAAAGTTTCTACTTTGCTATAGTAATTTTTAAAATAAAAAATTAAAGTGAATTTTATGTTATATCACATCTGTGATATGTTCCAAGAAGACATAAAATGGAGTTGCACTTTTGAATATTGCTTCATTTCAAATTCTATAATCTGTTCATTTTCTTTAAAACTTTAATTTTTTTGGAGCATGACCCCTTTCAAGGCAATCAGAATCACCTGGGGCTTAAATAAAAGGCTAGTGTTCAGATGAGGCCATGGTGAGTATACACAAATGACCAGCATCTTGTACTCAGCCATGTATTGTGAATCAGTCGATCTACTTTGGTTTCCATCTTTTTTTTCCACACTAATTCATCAGAGTTTCTTAATTCTTCATCTTTAGGGTGTTAGGAGATTCCAAATGGGCTTTAAAACCTTTAATTGAAAGCAGGGCTTCGAACAGGTTTGTTCCAGTTCAAACCTCTGTTGAGAGTTTGCATTTCTAACAAGTTCCCAGGAAGTTATACATAAGAATCACCTGGGGATCTTGTTCTAAAACAAGATTCTGATTCAGTAAATCTGGGGTGGAAATGCAGATTCTCAGCAGGGGTTCAAACCAGAACAAACCAGTTCAAAGCCCTGATTGGAAGTATCTTTTGAATTTGACAGTAAAATGGAATCAAATTTTCAGAGGCCTTGTTTTTTTCTCTTTTGGCGCTTGCAGTCTAATGGATTTGGTTGTATTAGCTAGTAACAGGTAGGTTTATGTTGGGGAAAGTTAAAGTTTGCTTTCACTTCTGAAATATTAACAATTTTACAGCCTGTTAAAATTAAAGGACAACCAGAAAGTGGGATTCTAAAGACAGGAACTTTTAGAGAGAATACAGAGGATACCGAAAGAAATAAAGTAAGTAGTTCATTGCGGGAAGTGGGGAACTGGGGGAAAAACATGGATTAATAACCACGTGATTATCGTAATCATATTGTCATCCTCCATTGTAAGATCTACTCTCTGAAGGGGATCTTTGCCATCTTTGGTAGCTGTTTGTTTGTTTTTACATGGTTGATCCATTGATATGCTAAAGGAATAGAAGTTTGTATATTCTATTCATTTTATAAAATGAAAAAATCCTTAGGCCTTTTATAAGACATCTTTGCCTTTGTTTTTATTTAAGAGCTTTGTTGAGGTGTAATTTATATACCATAAAATCCACCCATTTTTATTATACAATCCATTGATTTTTCGTAACTTACAGAGTTGTGATGAAACCATTATGACAATCCAGTTTTGGAAAACATTTCATCACACGAAAACGGTTCCTGTGCTCTGTCGTAGTTACTCCCCACTTCCACTCCCAGCCCCAGGCCGCCATAGATCTACCTTTTCTCATCATTTTATATAAATGGAATTATACAATATATGGTCTTTGTGCCGGGTTTCTTTTACTTAGCATAATGTTTTTGCAGTTCATCCATGTTCTAGCATGTATCAGTAGTTCATTTCTTTGTATTACTGAATAGTATTCCATTGTATGGATAATACCACATTTTATTTATTCATTAACAGTTGATAGACGTTTGGATTGTTTTCTGCTTTTGGGCTATTATGAACAATGCTGCTATGAACATTCACCTACAAATCTTTATGTGGAAATATGTTTTCATTTCTTTTGAGTAGATACCTAAGTATGGAATTGCTGTTTTATTCTTGTTGTTAATTTGTTTGCTTGTTTGTTTGTTTTTAAACTTTTTCTTTAAAACTGCCAAACGTTTTCCAAAGTACCTACCCATTTTACATTCCCACCAGTAGTGTTTGAGGGTTCTTATTTCCCACCGTTCTTAGTAACATTTATTATTGTCTGTTTATTTTATTGTAGCCACTCTAATGAGTGTAAAGTGGTATCTCATTGTGGGTTTTTTTTTTGTTGTTGTTGTTGAGAATGTACATAGCAAAACATACACCAATTCAACAGTTTTTACATGTACAACTCAGTGACATTGATTACATTCTTCAAGATGTGCAACCATTCTCACTCTTCTTTTCCAAGTTGTTCCTCTCCCATTAACAGAAATTCACTGCTCACGTCTAATCTTCCGAGTCGCTGTTGTCAATGTGATCCCACATACATAGTTCTTACAAGAGCATAATGCTCAAGGCAGACATTTTTTACTAGTTAAACTATTGCTTGGTTTTAAGAAGACCTTTAGTGTGGATATTTTTAAGGTTTAAGGATTATCTCAGGGCAATAGTTTCAGGGACTCATATAGCCTCCATGGCTCCAGAAAGTCCATGAGAATTTGAAATTTTGTTCTGCATTTTTCTCCTTTTGATCAGAATTCTTCTATGGAATCCTGAATCACAATCAAAATGTTCAGTAATGGTAGGCAGGCACCATCCAGTTCTTTTGATCTCATGGCAAAGGTGGTAGTTGTTCATGGCCATTGTGGTTTTAATTTCCTTTTCTGTAATCATCAGTGATTTTGAACATCTTTTCGTATGCTTATAAGCCATATGTTTAATCTTCAGTAAAATGTGTATTCAAATCTTTTGCTCATTTTTTAATTGGATTATTGTGTTACTGAGTTACATGAGTTCTTTATAATATTCCGGATACAGCCCATTTTTCAGAAATGTGATTTGTAAATACTTTCTTCTAGACTATGGCTCATCTTTTTATTTTATTAATGTTGTCTTTTGAAGCACAAAAATTTTGTTGTAGTCTGATACATCAGTTTTTTCTTATATGGATCATGCTTTTGGTATTGTATCTAAGGAACTCTTTGCCTGATCTGAAGTCCTGAAGATGCTCGCCTGTGTTCTCTCATAAAAGTTTTAGCTTTAGGTCTTATAATTAGGTCTGTGATCCATTTTGAGCTAATTTTTATGTATGTTGTGAGGTAGGGTCTAAATTCATCATTTAGCATGTGGATATCCAATTTTCCTATTTGCATTTATTGTGACAATTTTTTTTCCCAACACACCGATTGTGTTTATTATGTGTTTATGTTCAACAGAATGTATATATTTTAAGATGTGAAGAATGTAAAGATAGTACTTAGGTGGCTTATTATCAGGCCTTTTTGTCCTCTGTTATTAATATCAGTTTTTAATCCATGGAGGTGAGAGGTTGGTGCCTTAGTATATTGGTCTGTATTTATACACAGCATTTCATAAATATTTTGTGCAAAGAATAAATATAGAAGATACATTCGGAGATCAAGAGAACTGTAGGCAGAATACAAAAAATATCAAGAGAAGTCAAGACAAAGTTATTGGACTTGATACGAGTAGCTTAGTGTATGGCAACATTAATTCAAAAATCAGATTTTTTTTTTTTTAAACTAGGCTCAACGAGAACCTTTGACAAGAGCGCGAAGTGAAGAAATGGGGAGGATTGTACCAGGATTGCCTTCAGGCTGGGCCAAGGTAAAAATCAAAATTAGCACAGAAATAAGATGATTGCTGTGTTCAAAAAAAAAATTATTTTTTTGCTTATTCCGCATTTTCCCTAATGCAGAGTCAACCCTGTTTCTTCATTACAGAGGACATAGGTCTTTTCCCTAATTACAGCAGGGTTCGATGTCTCAGCACCCAACCTGGGACATGCTGGCTAGACTATATGAGCATTTGTGGCATTTGTCATTAAGAAACAACAAAGTATTTACAAACCTAAATTTTTTGGAAGTTTAATCATAGAAGTGATTATTGCCGTTTTATTCAAATTGTTTTAATCCAAAAGTGAATTTAGCAATGGAATAGTGAGTCACTTTGTTTGTTTATGTAATGATTTTTTTTTCTTTTCCATGTGAGTTTCTTGACCCAGTTACTGGAACCTTTCGTTATTATCATTCACCCACCAACACTGTTCATATGTATCCACCGGAAATGGCTCCTTCATCCGCACCTCCTTCAACCCCTCCAACTCATAAAGCTAAGCCACAGGTTCCTGCTGAGCGGGATAGGGAGCCTTCCAAGCTGAAGCGCTCCTACTCCTCCCCAGATATAACCCAGGCTGTTCAAGAGGAAGAGAAGAGGAAGCCAGCTGTAACTCCAGCAGTTAATCGAGAAAACAAGTAAGTTTATTGAGCTCCTAGAACTAGAATACTCTGTTATGTTTTAAAACTTCTACTCTCTATCAGCTTATTAGTATCAGGGAGTCAGAAATTTCTGTGGATAGCTATCAGCCATTGATGAAAAAAGAAATGAAGAAAATATACTTGGCTTTTTGCCCAAGTGCTAACTTAAATACCTTACCAGAGAGGGTTATCACAAGTATTAGTGTAGATATAAAAAGTATACACATTGTATTTGGAGGCAGCATGCCACAGACTACATAGAGTTTTTCTTAGACCTCCTATAGCCCCTAAATGTCCGTTTGATGACCTTAACTTACAGGTTGGTTGAGTTTGCTTTGTTGTAGCACTCAAATTCCAAACTTCTTCCCCCAGCCAGTAATGTGAGAGCAACATTATATAGTATTAAAATAACAAGCATTGTAATGTATCAGCTCCTGATCCTTGTTCTGTTCCTTTTTCCTTCATTGCATTTCAGCTATTCTGTGTACAAGTAGTGATCAATAGCTTAATTTAAGTTTCCCAGAACAGTATCTCATTTAGGTGTATTCCTGAGTTCATCCTCTTTCGAATCCTCTGATGCTCCTGGCTTATGACTGATATGGTTATGAGGAGATGATTTTCAAGTCTACCTACCACTCTAGTTTTTAGGGGGAGAGGAGTAAATTGGGGAAGTTTAGATAGGAGTGTAAGTAGATGAGCTTGTGTTTCCATTTACAGTACTCTCTGAATTGCTGAGGCATTCCAGCCGGGCTACCTTCCTGGCCCTTTCATAATGCAGCCCAGGAAGCATGCTTTTCCCTCCTGGAATGTCCCTGCAAGGTGGAACTATATGGAGGAGCTTTTTAAATTCTATAAATCTAGTTACAGATTTTAGGGCTCATTATAAAAACTGTTGATATTTAATTCCTTTTTGAATTATTACTCATACTAAACTTTGTTGATTTAACTGTTTTTAAAGACTCTCATCCTTTTATATGTATAGAACAGAGGAAGAGCACGAGTGCATGATCTGAACCCATGTAAAAAAAATGCTGATTGAAATATAGTTTAGTCTTTTCTCAGTATTCCATGTTAGAGTTGGAGGAATGCTAGGGATTGACAGTAAGAGCAAAAAGACCTATCAGTTAAGAATTTTCTTAATGCCATAGCAGTCCTAGAAGTTCCACTTATAAATCAGATATGCTCGGAGACATTCTCTAGTCCACTGCTGTCCAGTAGATCTTTCTGTGATGACGGAAAGGTTCTGTACTTGTGCTGTCCAATATGGTGTGCAGCTAATTGAAATGTGGCTAGTATAACTGAAGGACTGAATTTTAATTACTTTAAATTTGAATAGCCACCTGCGACTAGTGGCTACCATGTTTGTCAGCCCAGCTATAGACTTTGGATTATGTTATGTTGTTGTTAGGTGCCATCGAGTCACTTGCAACTCAGAGCAACCCTATGTACAACAGAACAAAGCTCTGCCCAGTCTTGCACCATCCTCACAATCAGACTTTGGATAATACTACCCAAATAACTTTCCTCCTTTGATATATCTACACCTCAGTAATATATTTTTTGGATACATTGTTTTGCATTCTGCTTGAGTTCAAACATTTAGTAGTGCTAAACTTGCTGGGTTAGTTAAAGGATTTTGAAAGAGCTTTCCTTGTTCATGAGAAGTCAAACAGTCCATCTCAGGGTCTCTGTAAGAACCATGGACCCACATAAGAGGTTAAAGGTATTTGTTCCATGGGAGGATCCCAGGATACAACCAGTGTTACCCAGATACTACCTTATGAGGGCCAGCACCCTATAAGTTACCTTCTTAACTGTTCAGAGGATTACTGGGGTACAGGTGCTAGAATTTGCTGCCATTTGTACAATGAACGTTAATTGCAGATGCTCTGCATTTTAAGACATCTTGTCTTTTTTTTTTTTTCCTTTCTTCAGGCCAATATGCTACCCTAAAGCTGAAATCTCAAGGCTTTCTGCTTCTCAAATTCGGAACCTCAATCCTGTTTTTGGAGGATCTGGACCAGCTCTCACTGGACTTCGTAATTTAGGGAATACTTGTTACATGAACTCAATATTGCAGTGCCTGTGCAATGCTCCACATTTGGCTGATTATTTCAACCGAAACTGTTATCAGAATGATATTAATAGGTAAAGAGATTTCATAGTTTTTGCAATATGTTAAAAGGTTGGTATCACCACACTACGTTACCACCCAGCTCCAGAGAAGTCAAATTAGTAAACAGGAAAGTATCTTTACTCTTAAGAAAAATGTGGAGAAAAGCGTTCTCTGATTGGTAAAGGACAGACGGGGAAAGGAGCAGTGCAGAAAGGCAGAACCTCTGCCATAAACTGGGGCCTGTTAGTGGTAGGAGGAGACCGTTCACGGCCGTCAGCCACAAGAAGCAGGTTGGAGGGGAATAATATCAAGGTAAGAGGCAAATAAGTCTTTTGTAGTAAAACTCGGAATAAATAAGTATTTTAGTGTAGGGTGACAATATACAAGCAGTTTGTCATCAAGAAGCCACTGTACCGTAACTTTTTAAATTTTCCTTTATTGCTTTTTTTTTTGTCATTTTAATTTTATTTGCCAAGGTCCAATTTGTTGGGGCATAAAGGTGAAGTGGCGGAAGAATTTGGGATAATCATGAAAGCCCTATGGACAGGACAGTATAGGTATGTCAGTCCAAAAGATTTTAAAATCACCATTGGGAAGATCAATGACCAGTTTGCAGGATACAACCAGCAAGATTCACAAGAACTGCTTCTATTCCTAATGGATGGTCTCCATGAAGATCTAAATAAAGTAAGAAATTTGATATTTTCTAAGTTGCAGAAGCTCTTCAGGTGCTCAGTAGCACTTTAATCTTTTCATAGCAATGTAAAATTATAGTTGGTGATTGTTCAGTGCTAGTTTATTCAAATCTAGTGACTTTGTACTAAGATGTGGAACTGTAAAACAAATACATTTCATGGGAGTATATAGAGATATATCTCCATTCATGAGGCTAAGACAAAGAAATTACATCTAATTGTTGTAGCGTTAATTTCCAGCTATGTGTGGGATGTCGTTTTCAAATCAGACTTTTCAACTTTTTAAATAAAACTTTCTTAAGAAATTCCAACAAGTCACACCATTTGATAAAATGAGTTTTTTTCTGGGGGCGGGGGACGGTTTTGTTTTTGGGTACTTTTGGGGTTAAAATTGTTTTTTCATAGCACTTGATGAGATCAGAGCTCCTTTATGAAGAACTATGAGTGTTTCTAGATCTGAAAAGTATATTTAGTTTTATTCTTTCAATTTTATATTTAAGTGTTGTCTTTGAGGTATTAATACGGAGTTTAAATGCTCTTATTTCCAGGCTGATAATCGAAAGAGACATAAAGAAGAGAATAACGATCATCTTGACGACTTTAAAGCAGCAGAGCATGCTTGGCAGAAACACAAGCAGCTCAATGAATCCATCATTGTTGCACTGTTCCAGGGTCAGTTCAAATCCACAGTGCAGTGCCTCACGTGTCACAAAAAGTCGAGGACATTTGAGGCCTTCATGTATTTGTCTCTGCCATTGGCGTCCACAAGTAAATGTACACTACAGGTGAGTTTAGAGTGAGAGAAAATGATTTGGATAGAAATACTGTTCTTATGCATATAGACATGTACTTTATTCAGCCATTTATTTCTGGTCTTTTCCTCTAAGAATTTTTATAGGTAAATCCCACACATATATTCTGTTGTAATTAGGACTGTATAGATTAGAAAGTATTAGAAATTTTTTTTTTTTTAATACACATTCTTTCAGAAATTTCAAAGATTCATTTGGAAGGTGATGTGAAGACCTTAACTTGGGTGTACTTTTTACAAGAGTGTGGTTTACATGGGCTATCAGATAAATATCTGATCCCCACATAGCAGCAATGTCGTTTATAGAGTGTGCGCTCTTCCTCCTGCTTCCTCCAGAGCGTCATTTTCTCCCGCAAGTCTTCCACGCTCGCCCTTCTTCCCTCACCAGGGCATGGACCACACACTGTCGTGGTGCTCGCTTTACTTGTCTGCGTTATCGTGTTCTAATTTGCTGCTGTCTCCCTGCTGCCTGATAGAGTGGCTCATTGAATAGGTGCTCAATGATTCTGTGTTGAAGACATGAATTAATGAGTATCTGTTACTTGTTTTTCCCACCAGGATTGCCTTAGATTGTTTTCCAAAGAAGAAAAACTCACAGATAACAACAGATTTTACTGCAGTCATTGCAGAGCCCGACGGGATTCTCTAAAAAAGATAGAAATATGGAAGTTGCCACCTGTGCTTTTAGTGCATCTGAAACGGTAAAGGAACAGGTTTTTCCACTTGTTAGCAAATTTTAGATGAGGGAATTCTAAGTCCTCTGTGATTTACACTTCATTGTAATGCCTGCTAAGAAATCGTAACAAAGAGGAAGGTTATCTGGTTAGTTCACCTTGGTGTTTGCAATACCAGAGCAAAGTGACAATACCACTGTTCCATGTAATTCGGTGTTTAAAAATCAGTGAAGCTAACTAACCATCGTATTTCATATATAAAAATTTTAAATCATTACAAAACATCAAGTGAAAACATATAAAAGCAAATGTATAATTCTAACAAATTATTAGCAGATGAAACTTAACGTATTTAGAAAATAAACATAACAATGAAATACATGATTTTATAAAGTACAGCTTTAAAAATTAATGATGCAGGTATATTTTTGCCCACATTTTTCCAGCCAATGAAAAATATCTGGTGCTGTAGTAGTAGAGGAGCCTGGTGACACAGTGGTTAAGCACTCGACTCCTAACCAAAAGGTCAGCGATTCGAACCCACCAGCTGCTCTATGGGAGAAAGATGTGGCAGTGTGCTTCTGTAAAGATATACAGCCTTGGAAACCCTATGGAGCAGTTCTACTCTGTCCTACAGGGTTGCTATGAGTCAGAATAGACTTGACGCCAATGGGTTATAGTAGTAGAAGTCCTTGGGTGGTGCAAACAGTTATTGCAGTCTGCTGCTAACTGAAAAGTTGGAGGTTCAAGTCCACACAGAGGCGCCTCAGCAGAAAGGCCTGGCAGTCTACTTCTAAAAAGTCAGCCATTGAAGACCCTGCAGAGCACAGTTCTCCTCTGAAACACTTGGGGTCGCCATGTTTTTTTTTCTATAGTAGAAGGAATAATGGTGAGAGAGTTGTAATACATGTCCCACTTTTTTCTTCTGATTTTTTTCATCTTCATGTATTCTGTCTATAGAGTGATAACTTTGACTTGATTTTTTAAACTTTTTAAAGGAAGTTTTATCTTTCTTATTGAGAGCTGTAATTTTTGTTTCAAAGAAAGCATTTCTGTTTTATTGTTTCATCTTGTATTATGGGAGACTCTTAGCAGTTACTTAATGACAATTCCACTATTGACATGTTTAGATTCTTCTTGTGTGAATTTTTTTAACAAAGGCCTGTTTTGTCAGTTATTATTTCTTCATCTTCTTAAGGATTATGGGGGTATTTATAGGCGGACATTCTGTGAATGAGTACATATTTGTTCTCAGTTTAATGCTGCATATTACTCTTGAGGAATATCTAAAAATATAAATGGTCACAATTCAGATTTTCTGAAATAACTATACCAACAAAAATGCCAGTATTGTTTAAAAGGAGCAGAGTATGCTGGGATAGCGGGATGCTGTCATTCCTGTCACTTGTCTATCTGCTTGCCATTTCTGATTCTGTTCACCCCAAATTACACGCTTAATCTAGAGTAGTACTCGGTCTTTCCTCTGTTTCTTGTGGTGATTAGCATTATAAACATGTGGGTTTTCAAAGAAAATCTTTATAACTTTTTACCTTTGTAGAAGACTTGCCTAAGGGTCAGTGGGCCATGATCAGTGGACCAGAGTTGTTCTACCTCTACCACTCTTGCTGTTTGCCCATGGACAAGTCATTTAATATCCATGTGCCTCACTTTCCTCATTTGTAAAATAGAAATGGAACCAAGTGTCTGTAACAGGTCCCTCCACTACTAAAATTCTGAGTCTATGTATTTTAAATGGATTTTACGGTCCTGGCTAAAATCCTGATAGTTAATGAATGACTGAGGGTTCATTCTGATGTCTGTGGTCTGTCAGTATCATCACCGTAATGTTTTGCTCTGCAGTTTTTCCTATGATGGGAGGTGGAAGCAAAAATTACAGACATCTGTGGACTTCCCATTAGAAAATCTTGACTTGTCACAGTATGTTATTGGTCCAAAGAACAACTTGAAGAAATACAACTTGTTTTCTGTTTCCGTAAGTATCTCATTGAACTAAGTACTTCATTTTTTTTCCCAAGCAAATTTATAGAGTAAGAACAATGTGAAGCTTTGAAATTACTGACGTATTTTAAATCACTCAGTTTGGATTGCTTTCTCTGTTTGGCACAGAATCACTATGGCGGTCTGGATGGAGGCCACTACACCGCCTATTGTAAAAATGCAGCAAGACAGCGCTGGTTTAAATTTGATGATCACGAAGTTTCTGACATCTCCGTTTCTTCTGTGAAGTCTTCAGCAGCTTATATCCTCTTTTATACGGCATTGGGACCACGAGTGACTGATGTAGCCACATAAGGAGAACTTAATAGTAAGCTAGTTATCTTTTAAAAGGCTCAGAAGCACAGCTCTTCAAATGCTTACAGTTACTGGAAAGCTCTTGCTGGCCGTTTAGAGTAATTCTAGGGCAGTGGGAGTTGTTACTATATTTCAGGTCAGTGCTAATATCAAAAAACTGACTAATACCATCTAACAAGTATTACAGTAAGCAACCCTTACAAGTACCATTTATTTCAAAACAACTTTTTTAGTCTGCTCCAAAGTTAAAATAATTACCTAGTTAAGCATTATTATTCTGTTGTTCTACAGACCATTGTATCCTTTCCTTTCCTTTTCACTGTATGGCCTTGTCACATTTCTGAAGCCCAGCTTCATCAATTATGAGTCCTCTAAAATGACATAAAGCAGATAACAATGTATGTGTATATAGTTATTGCACACTTGCACATCAAATTGATGTACATAATATAACGTGGTCCTCTCATTAAGCCTAGAACTCAGAGAGGATTGCTTTTTTTTTTTTTCCCCCTGGGTCACTGCAGTGCTTTCTTAGGGAAATGACAGGGCAAAGCTATTTTTCTGTTGGCTTTGGGCTGTATTTGTGCACTAAATCTTTATTCTAAAAAATAAATGGAAATTTTTCTTTAATTTTTTAAAAGAGAATTTTATTTACACTTACATTGAAATCTTAATGAGAAAAATAACTTAAAACCCTGTGAGTGTTCTGCCTTTAATGTTGTATGATCAAACACAGTACACTCGACCCTAGATTTTACACACACCCCTTATATATACACACACTGTATCCTGCTGCATTGATTTAAAGTTATTTCACTTATCCTGTTGCATCAAGGCTCAATTCCATTCTAACTTCAGCTGGACACCTGCACTGCATGTCACACTTAACAATTCTCAGATTTGAGGTCAAAATAAGATATAAATTAGCACCCACGTTCACTGTATCAGGAGTAGTAGAGTTCTTAGGATTGAAGTGATAAGGGATAGGAGTCAGGCGTCACTGCCAAGTGAACTACATTATGAACCACGTCTTCACAAAGTGATGTGTTAAAAGGAATAGAGGAGCTTAGACTTTACCATTTACCTCAGGGCACTCAGTTGCTATAGATGAAGTCATTAAGACGCTCCATATAACAATGAGATTCTAAAAGTGCTCCTGAAAGACGTTACCACTGGTGGACTCTCAGGGAGAGGATGAAAGGATGGGTTTTGAATTGTGAAGGTGAGAACTTTTCATGTTCTGCAATTAGTCTAAGAGACTTGCAGCTTCTTTACTAAATGATTTTATCAATTAAATATTTTCAAATCACATTCTTAAGGTCACAGAGCCATTTGAACAAAAATTATTTTTGTTTGGCTCCATGAAGTATCTTTGGAAAATAATTTGCTGAGTATACATAATTGTAATGAGAAATTTGATGGTAGAAATCCACCCTAATAAACACGAGTTTGAAGTCTGAACTCCATACAAAGTCTGCAGTGGTTTACAGGGTCCCATCCATTAGCACTGCATTATTTTCACAGTACCTTTTCAGTGGGCCAGACTCATGTTTTTTACTTTATAAAAGGTTGCATAATATGCCAGAAAGACTTAAAAACATATTAGTGATGCAAGTAAATTGGAAGAGTTTAATGATAAAGCAAAACTTAGCTACCAGTTTCTAATTGCTTGTTTTACAGTTTTCAAAAAATGTTTTCCTAGCTCTTGCATTTTTGTATAGGTATAGAAAAGGGCTGGCAGCTGTAGAACAGGAGATACGCTGTTGTGGTTTGCACTGAAGTGTTTGGAATCTCACTGACTCGTGTATCATCAAAGCTATACCAGCCCTGGGTGACTGAGTTCCTGCAGAAAGCGGTGTAGTGGCCACCATCCAGGTCACCAAAGTGGTTCTGTGGGAAGAAGGAATATCTGGCTTAGTGTTAACGTGCGACTGCTTTAACTGTTAGAACAAGAAAGGGAGGGCAAAGAATACTTTTTATACTTCTCCCTTATACTGAATTAAAAGGAAATGATAATTTTGTTAAACTGAATCGTACATATATAGCCTAACTGCTGTATTGCTTTTCATCCACTGGAACTGCTTATATATTATTCCCATTGACTATTTAACAGAATTTGTGAATGAAATAGGACAATATTGGGCAGCATCTGACCCATATTTATCAGTTAAACTTACTGATCACGTTCTATATATAGACTGTTAACACATAGGGTTGCCATGAGTTAGAATCAGCTTGACGGCAGCTAACAACAACAACAACATGTTGGGCATTAAAGGAAATTTTAAAATAAGCAAGAAAGTAGTCATCTTTCCTAAATGAACTTACAGTTTAATTTTGAGGTCAGATTAAGAATTAAAAAAAAACATTTAACATAAGGGGAAAAAAAAGACATTTAAACAACTGCATTGCTGTGGCTCAGCTTAAGGGGGTTGTGCAACACCCCCTTCAGTCATTTAGGGTCCAAATAAGAACCTTTTCCCAGAAATGAAAACATTGGAGAATCTCACTTCTGGAAGGGGTTATGGTGTAGAGTAGGGGTTGGCAAACCATGACCCATGGGCCACATCTAGCCTGCTGCCTCTTTTTGTATGGCCCATGAGTTAAGAATGGTTTTTATATGGTTCAAAAAAATCAAAATAATATTTTGTGACACGTGAAAATTCCATGAAATTCCAATGTTGGTGTCCTTTAAAAAAGCTTTTCTTGAAGCACAGCCATGCGCATTCATTTTACATTTTGTCAGTAGCTGCTTTCATGCTTCAAGGCAGAGTTGAATAGTTGCAACAGGGACTGTATGGCTTGCAAAGCCTAAAATATTTACTAGTTGACATTTTACAGAATAAGTTTGCCATCCCCTGGTGCACAGGAAGGGAACTGAATTTTTATAGTCAATTTCTACTGTGAATTCAGCTGTAATACACAGTGATTTCAGGGAAATTATTTAACCTTTCTAAACTTTAATTCATTTGTTAAAGTGGGGTAATAAGACTTGTCCTATACAATTATTGTCAGATAGCTTTTATATTACAGAGCTAGCACAGAGGACATGCTTATTAAACGTTTCCTTAGACCTCCATCTTCTTCAGCCCACCCCTCCCATTACTGTAGGAATATTGTAGATATATCCCAAAGCTGAAATTTAAAAGATCCATGTTCTGGGCCTAGTCCTTGCCATGTGGCCTTAGGTTGACATGCTTCAGCATCATTATGTATAAAATGGTACCCATAGTAGTGTGATATAATTTGATTGTAGAAAAACAAAACATCTGGTGGATGGTGTCCAGATGAGGAAGTGATGTTCTAAAGTGGTTAGACAGACCACAGCTGAATATTGTGTTCAGTTTCGATAACTTCATGTAAAAAAGAAAAAAAGCATTGACATAACGGTAGAAGAGGGTGAAGCATCTTTCTAATGTCCATTTCCAGCAATCAATGCAGACAGCTCCAGAAGGAGAGAATATAGAGTATGGAAGCAAGGAAATACTTCACATGATAACGGCTGAAAAATGATTAATAAGTGACCTGAATCTTCAAATTTAAGAAATACAACAAATCAAGGATAAATAAAAACAAAACTATAGGCAACAAAGGCAAAGAGAAAAATCTCAAAACCAACCAGGAAGAAAAGACAGATAACCCACAGAAGAATTGCAAGCAGATGGTAGATCTCAATGGCAACAATGGAAATCAGAAACAATGCAATAGCTTCAAAATGATGAAAGAAAACTGATAATCTGGAATTTGATTGCTCATTCAGTTATTCACAATAAATTAAAGTGAACTAAAGACTTTTTTCAGTCAAAGACCAAAAAAATTTAGGATAACATACCTTCACTGAAATGTCTACTGAAATAGGTCCCGCTCAAATAAAGGAAGAACTGATACATAAAAGGGGTTGGTGAGCAAAGACATTGGTAGAGATTCTGGCAAATTTATAAATCAACATGAACTGTAAAAAGCCATGATGAATAATATCTACTTTGATATGAAACCATATGCTGGAACACAATATCATAGGTAGGTGTTTCAGAGTTACAGTGTTCTAAGATGCTTGCATTTGTTCTGGAGAAGAGTATAGGGATATTCCACCACCCAAACATCATTTTGTCATATTGTGGTGGCTTGTGTGTTGAGGTGCTGGAAGCTGTGCCACTGGTATTTCAAATACCAGCAGGGTCACCTGTGTTGGACAGGTTTCAGCAGAACTTCCAGATTAAGGTAGACTAAGAAGAAAGGCCCAGTGATCTACTTTCAAAAATTAGCCAATAATATCCTTACGGTTCACAGCAGAACATTGTCCAACTCGCTTGGTTTGGACGCGTCATCAGGAAGGATCAAGTACTGGAGGAGGACATCATGTTTGGGGAAGGAGGGCCACTGAGAGTGAGGGGGACCCTTGGTGATGTGGATTGGCACAGTAGCCACAGCAATGGACTCGAACATGCCTGCAATTCTGAGGGTGATGCAGGACTGGGCAGTGTGTTGTTTTGTTGTACACAGGTTGCCATGAGTCAGGTCAGCTCAATGTCTCTGTGTATCTGTTGGAATATTATTTAACTTTAGATTTTAAGTCAAGTATGGAAGCTGAAGTTTTAAGGGTAATTGCTAAAGAATCTATACAACTTCCAAAGTTATAGAGGGAAAACTTTATCAGTTGAGTAGTAAGGAAGAAAAAAAGGCCAGGGGAAATGTCTAATCAGGTTAACAAAAAGTACAAAAGATAACAGAAATAAATCCAAATTTATTACTAGTTTAACTATATGGAAATATATGAAACAGCAAAGACTGACAGATTGGATTAAAATCTAGTTCTGTATTCTACAGTATAAAACATTGAGAACTTGGAAAAGGTTGAATTTAAAGGGATAGAAAAAAGGTATAGTAGGCAGATACTACCAAAAGAAACCTAGAGTAGATATATAAATATCAGCTAAAATGGACTTCAAGACAAAAATCATTATAAATGACAGTCATTTTATAATGAAAAAAATAGTTAAGTCACCAAAAGATTATAATTCTGAACTGCTATGCACCTCGATAGATTTGCAAAAAACTGACTTAATAAATTCTGACAAATTACCTTCAGGGTTGTATCCTGTCACCATACTTATTCAGTCTGTATGCTGAGCAAATAAAAAGCTGGACAATATGAAGAAGAATGCAGCATCAGGATTGGAGGAAGACTCATTAACAACCTGTGATGTGCACATAACACAGACTTGCTTGCTGAAATCGAAGAGGACTTGAAGCACTTACTGATGAAGATCAAAGACTACAGCCTTTAGTATGGATTACACCTCAACATACAGAATCCTTACAACTGGACCAGTTAGCAACATCATGATAAACAGAAAAGATTGAAGTTGTCAAGGATTTCATTTTACTTGGATCCACAATCAACACCCATGGAAGCAGTAGTCAGAAAATCACATGACATGCTGCATTGGGCAAATCTGCTGCAAAAGACCTCTTTAAAGTGTTAAAAAGCAAAAATGTCACTTTGAAGACTAAGGTGCATCTGACCCAAGCCATGGTGTTTTCAGTCACCTCATATGCATGTGAAAGCTGGACAATGAATAGGGAAGACTGGAGAAGAATTGACGCCTTTGAATTGTGGTGTTGGCAAAGAATATTGTATATAACGTGGACTGCCGGAAGAAGGAACAAATCTGTCTTGGAAGAAGTACAGCCAGAATGCTCCTTAGAAGGGAGGATGGCAAAACTTCATCTCACGTACTTTGGACATGTTATCAGGAGGGACCAGTCCCTGGAGAAGGACATCATGCTTAGTAAAGTAGAGGGTCAGTGAAAAAGAGGAACACCCTCAACGAGATGGATTGACACAGTGTCTGCTGCAGTGGGCTCAAACAGCAACGATTGTGAGGATGGTGTAGGACCAGGCAGTGTTTCGATCTGTTGTACATAGGGCTGCTATGACTCGTAACTGACTCGACGGCACCTAACAACAAACCTTCATAATGGAAGATTTCAACACGTTTCTTTCACCTATCAATTAGAAAAATACATAAATAGCAGCTTTGAACAATAAAAGCTATTTTACTGGGCATAAAAAACCCAGCTCCTAATAAATAGAAAAATGTAAGTACAGAGCATAATCTTTGAACACAACACAATAAAATTAGCAGCCAATACAAAAAGATACCCCAAGTCCCCATACTTTTGGAAATTTAAAAAAAAAATTCTAAACTTTATAGAGTGAATAAGAAATTATAAATTAAAAATACTTAGGAATACACTATAGAATACTATATCAAAACATACGGGATGCAGTGATATCTGAGAATGTCTTTATAATATGGTACAGGGAAGGGAGTGGGTACATATTATAGATGAGTTGATAATGGTTGAAGCTGGATGATGGATGTATACCTGTTGCCATCGAGTCAATTCCAACTCATAGCGACCTTATAGGACAGGGTAGAACTGCACATACGGTTTCCAAGGAGCAGCTGGTGGAGTCAAACTGCCGACCTTGTAGATAGCAGCTGTAACTCTTAACCATGGATGTATTGGGGTCTGTCCTCTTTATTTGGAATATATATGAAAGTCAAGAGAATAGTAAGCATTAAATTCAGGATAGTGTAACCTCTAGGGAAGAAGGCAGGGGACTTGGGAAAGAAGCAAGCTGACAGATGCAATTGTATTGGTGGTGTTTAAGTTCTTAGGTGATGATTTCAGAGGTATTATGCTGTGTGACATCTGTATATCTTATATACATTATTTTATATTCATCAACTATTACATAATGGTATTTAAAAGAAAAAGGAAATAAAAGGATGGAAAAAGAAACTGGCATAGTTTTATCAAAAAAGCATGAGAAAGGATAAAAGATGCCCCATAATGATAAAAGGAACAATTCACTAGAA